ACAAAAGAATTATTTTTTCTGCATGATTCCCCCATAGAAGGTCCATCCTACTGACCTAGAGGTGGTCAAATCTTTTAAAATAATGACTGACAAGTTTATTTCTACCACATGACTGAGTCTGGAAAAGTTGGACCAGACCTGTTTCCTCTCTGGAGCACCTCAGCTTGGTTCAGAATCTGGCATGGAACACAGGGGGCTCAATCAGTGTTTGGTAACTGATGCTGAGTGGGCACTCAGAACTAGCCAGCCAAGGTCAGAAGCCTGGAGTACACCCCCTACCACCAACCATCACCATGCCCACTCACAGAACTCCATGAATGGGAGGTGTAGATGATGAAATGTATTATTCACTGCTTTGGAAAGAAATTAAAATATTTCCATAATACAATATGTTTCTTTTCTAAAACAGATGTGTCCTTATTGTTTCATGAGGGAGTAATTAAATGTGTTTGATTAAACATTTATAAATGCTATCATTTATTCAAGGCTTATATTGCTGTGTTTGTGGTATTTTTAATCTGTCATATCTGCTTTTCCCAATCATGCTTTAAAATCTTCATTTTAGAGACAAGGAAACTGAGGCTCAGAAAGATTAAGTAGCTTGCCCAAAGATAGTCAGTTTTTTTTTTTTGGCTGGGGATTGAATCCAGGGCCTTGTGCATTCGAGGCACACACTCTACCAACTGAGCTATATCCCCAGCCCTGATAGTCAACTTTTGAGTGAGTAATAGAGGAATGAGATTGATCTGCAAATGAGATTGATCTTCAAAACCAGTTCATTGCCATTACCCTAAATGTCTAGTCTTGTATTTTCAGCTCAGCACCCCAAACTGGCATGCATTTGCCTTCTTCCTCTCAGCCCTTCCTGTGTCCAGCATCCCCTGCTCTTTCCCTCTTTCACCCTTTCCCCACTCCTCATTGTGCCTCCTTCTCCATTTCCTGTTAGTATCTTTTAGATGATTGAGTCTGTATTTGTATCCTGAAGCAGAAATGTTTTTGACAATATCAATACTAATTGTACACTATCTCATTTAGAAACTGGTGTTAATTGTGTGGTAATGTCATATTTGTATTAACAGATACTACAAAATAATACGTTTTTAAGAAGATCAAATCACGTATGATTTTGTTTTTTTTTTATATAACCTTTTACTAGTAAGATTTTTGGGTCCCAATTTATATTTAAAAAAAAAAATATATATATATATATATGTATATGTATATATGTATAATTACAGTGCACTAATAAAAATATTTTTTTTCCATTTAAAATATAACAATGTATTGTAAAGTTGGTTAGAAGATTTTCTAAAGCAGTGGAATATCTATTTCAAGTTATATATGAAAAACAAGATTGAAATACTTCAATGAGGTCTTTTTAGGGAAGTTTAAGAGGTTTCTTACAGTCTTAAATGCATTTATTTTATGCCCCTCCTAGGATTTCAGCAGGATTAAGTTTTTTGAATCAGTGGATCAAGTTTTAATTTTCCTGTTCCTTCCTTACACTGACATATGCTTTGGCAGAACAAAAAAGAGACCTAAACATGTCAGCATGATTTTTGTTCAATGAATTAAAAACCATAAAAGTAACAAGATCTGATCCAAATCCCTAAACTCCTGACATGGTGGTTTTGTCCTTTTCAGCCCCAAGATTCATGTTACTGACTTTGAAAAGCTTTCTGTCTGGAAGCAGAAGTGCATGATTTATTTGAAATAGATTATAAGGGGTAAGCAGCCTGGAGTAGTGGAAAGAATACAGTCCAGAAAGATTTGAATTTGAATCCCAGTTCTGTCACTCAAGCCCCTTGGCAAGTCCCTTGACATCTGTGAGCCTCAATTTCCGCATTGGAAAATGGGGGTATTAGACTTCAATCTGAAGAATTTTTGTGAGAATCAGTGAGACCACATATTCAGAAGTACTCACCTGGTATAGAGGGGTTTAATAGCGGTAGTGATCAGAATCATTTTTATTTTGAGAATACCTTCAAGTAGGTCAGTCCAGAAGAATTTACTTATAATACAACCGTCCACTTCATTTTCAGAGCTTTTCCTTTCTTAGAATTCTTTGAATTCTTTTTCTCATCAGAGAAAATATCAGATAGGTATCACTAAATGTTCAGTAGCTACTTATCACTAGTCCACACTGAACATGTACCCAGAATGTGGGATTATCCTTACTCAGCAAGAACCACACTGATTTGAGGGTCAGGGAGCAAATACCAGTGATGTTAATTTCAGGACAGAGAAATTTTGTTATACTCAGAACTTCATTGACTTTGAGACAGGTCAGCCTGAGTTTGACTTTGAATAAGATAGTAAACTCTTTGGACCTCATTTTCTTTATTTATAAAATGGGGTTCATGGCCTTATAAAAGACCCTCCATGATATGGCTTCCCAGCCTCTTCTCTCTCTTTAAAAAAAAAAAAAAAAAATATATATATATATATATATATATATATATATAATATTTTTTTTCCTGTTCCTTCCTTACACTGACATATGCTTTGGCAGAACAAAAAAAGAGACCTAAACATGTCAGCATGATTTTTGTTCAGTGAATTAAAAAATTAAAATTTATATATATATATATAAATTTTTATATATATATATATATATATATATATATATTTTTTATTTATTTATTTTAGTTGTCAGTGGATCTTTATTTATTTATATGTGGTGCTAAGAATTGAACCCTGTGCCTGAGATGTGCCAGGCAAGTACTCTACCACTGAGCCACCGCCCTAACCACTCAGCCTCTTCTCTTATGACTCCTTACTTTGTTACTTGTGCTCCAGCCAGTTCCTGTGATGAAACATGTTCACAGCTTCACAGCTTCAAGCCTTTTTGTATGCTCTTTCCTCCTCCTACATGTCTCCCCTTACTCTGCCTGTACTGGCAGTTTGGACTTTTTTGATTCTAATAAGGTATATTAGTCAGAATGAGCTATGCTGCGTTAACAAGCAATCCCAACATCTCCATGGCTTATAGCAATAGAAGTTTATTTTTTGCTCATGCTGCATTCTAGAGGCTGTTCGTCATGGTCATTCTGGGACCTGAGCTGATGTAAATTCTTATCTCAACTTGTACTGTGGCCAAGGAAAACAAATGTGATAGAGCATGCATTTCTTCTGGAAGCTTCTATCCTGAGGTGATACCCATCATTTCTGCTCAGATTTCATTGGCCATTTCATTTTTATGTTGAGAATACATTCAAGTAGGTCAGTCCAGAAGGGACTGAAAGCTGTGTAGCTTAGCTTTGGAAGGGGTCAAAACGTGCATTTCTCCTATATGCCCAGAAGGATAAGAACCATAATACTGGTAAACGGACCTAATGACTATCATGTTTAGATATCATTTCTCTAGGAAAATCTTCCCTTACTGCCCCCTCCCTAAACTTGGACAGTCCTAGGTGATTTAGCTGAGTGGGTTTTTTCCTGTGGCACCTTGGCCTTCCCCATATCCCTTTCCATAGCACTGCTCATACTCCATTGTAAATGTCACTGCTTGCTTCACTCCTATTGCAGCTCCTTAAGAGCAAACAGTGGTCTGTCATCTTCATGGTAATATCCTCAGTGCCTAGCACTCAGTTTATAAAATGGAAAAAAGTTTTGATAAGTGGTAGGCACTCAGTTTATACAAATGGAAAAAGGAAGGCTGGGCAAACATGTTAGGCTAGTTTGCTAGGTTGTTGTGATTATTGAATGTAAACTAATAACTATCTGTGGTGGTTGTAAGGATTAGTGTATAAGTGCCTGTCTCAGTGGCCTATTGTCAGCCTTCAGTATGCACTTTGCTGTTATGATGAGGATATTAAGTAAAAACTAATATTTATTAAACATTTATAATGTGATAGACACTTCCTAGGTACTTTTTGGAAGTTAACTGGCATAGTGGTTCGCCCATGTTACATTGTGACTCGTGTTACATATTGTTTGGTTTTGAAATCAATTGAAAGTCATTTGTTTTAATAAGATTATGAAGTTACTACTTGTTTTGGATGATTTAGCGATCAGAGATGCTGCTATTTCTATAACATCATCACTTATTGCTTTCTTTAGCAGGAAGGAGGTAGAGTTATGGCTCATTTTTGATTGTTTAATTGAGCACTTAAAATGTACCGGGGTCAGTGCTAAATAATTCACATGCATCATCTCATTAATTTTTTACATCACTCCTTGAATCCACATTAGATGGGCACTCTGAGGAAAGGAGACCATGTATGTGTCTCATTAGTAGCATGATCAGAATTTGACCCCAGGTCTGTGTAGACTTCCTCTTGTACTTTTAACAGTATTCTTTTTGAAAATTTTTTGTTTGTTCTTTTTAGTTATCATGACAGTATTTTGACATATCATACATACATGGAGTATAACTTCCCATTTTTTTGTGGTTATACATGATGTGGAGTTATACTGGTCATGTATTCATATAAGAATATAAGAAAGTTATGTCCTATTCATTCTACTGTCTTTCCTATTCCCACCTTCTTCCCTTCATTTAAAATTCCCTTTTGTCTAATCCAGTGAACTTCTCTTCTTCTGCCACCACCCCAGTTATAGTGTGCTAGCATCTGCATATAAGAAAGAACATTTGGACCTTGGTTTTTTGAGATTGGCTTATTTTCACTTGGCAAGATAATCTCCATTACCATCCATTTACTGGCAAATGCCATAATTTCATTCTTCTTTATGGCTGAGTAATATTCCATTGTGTATGTATACCATGTTTTCTTTATCCATTCATCTGTTGAAGGGCACCTAGGTTGATTCCATAGCTTACCTATTGTGAATTGAGCTTTTAAGCAGTATTCTTATGGGCTGTCCTTAGCTAACTCAACATACTTGACCTTGAGCATATCCATAGGCATGTGTCAACAATGTTCAGAGTAAAAGTTATAGACTGTGGAGTTAATTGAGTGATATTAAATTCTTTGCTAGAGGCTAATGTCTAGATGATTTTGTTGATTTTTTGTTGTTGTTGTTTTTTCTTTTATCAGAGTAACCAGGGAGCACAGGGAAATGCTGGTGAAACTGGCCAAACAGAACACCAACAAGGCCAAGGACTCTTTACGGAGGGTTCGCACCAATGCGATGAATAAGCTGAAGAAATCAAAAGACAAGACTTCGGAAGATACCATTAGGCTCATAGAGAAGCAGGTACTGTTGCCGACAGATGTGGAGTTTATGTTTCCAACCCAAGGAATCATTCATTCATGTGTGAAGCAAAGACAGTTTAAACAAACGTCTCTGGTCCTTTCATTCACATGACAATATTGACCAAGTCTCTGTCCTCATGCTGGGCCCTGGAGGGATCCATAAAAGAGGATAAGATGCTGTTGACTTTTTACTTGTGCTAGGCTCTCTGCTAAACACTTTATATTACTTCATTAATTCTCGTCACTATAGAACTGTGAGGAAAAGTTCAGTGACGAGCCCAATCATGTTGCTGGTACATGGAAGAAAGGGCATCCAGAGACAGGCAGGCTGATCTCAGAGCCTACCTGCTAATGCTCTCTTCTCTGGTTTTCTGGTTGCTGAGAAGTAAGTACTTACGTTGTCAGTGTGCTGAGTAGTAGCACTTGAGCAAGTCTTAAAGGAGCTCTTGGATAAAAGAGTGAGAGACAAGAAGAAAAGAGACAAGAACAGCATGTGCACCGGGATGATGATATAAAAGAGGCTTGTCACATAGATCAGTGGGGCTTTAACCTAGGCTAAGACTAGGGAGTGAGTAGAGAAGATAGAAGGTCTTGAAGACCAGGTTGAGGAGTTTAAATTTTAACATGACCATAGTTTCCCACATTGGCTGTGCATCCATAGCAGTCACCTGTGGCCGTAGTAATGCTGTATGACCAGCTACTTCAAAACTCAGTGATTTATAGTTTCAAAGCATTATTTGTTACTCTTGTTTCCATGGTTAAGCTAGGTAGTAGCTGTTCTAGGCTGGGCTCTCAGGGAACTTGGCTGCAGATCTTGGACTGGGTTCAAGTCTGCTTTATAAAAATCTTCCAGAGTCAATAAATTTCCAGGGCGTCTTTACTTGGCAAGAGCAGATGCCACTGTGCCTGGCTCTCCCTTCTTTATGTTGATTATTATTATTTTTTTCAAAGCAAAAATAACTTCCATTAGTTTTCCTAATACTTAAGTAATACATGTTTATTATAAAAGGAATGAAGTGCTGGGTGTGGTGGTGCATGCCTGTAATCCCCGGGACTTGGACAGCTGAGTCAGGAGGATTGCAAGCTCAAGGAAACTTAATGAGGCCTAAGTAACTTAGTGAAACCCTGTTTCAAATTAGAAAATAAAAAGGGCTGGAGATGTGACTCAGTGGTTAAGCACTCCTGGGTTTAATCCCCAGTGCCCCCCCAAAAAATAATACTAATAATGAAGAAAGTCATTGAAGTCTTGTCACTAAGAGATGACCGTTACTAACATTTTAGTGCTGTTCTTCAGGCTATCTCTGTAAGCGTATATGTGATCTATAAAATACCAGTGATCTATAAAATTTATCATTTTTCCATTGTAAAAATCTTTAATAAAGATATCCTTTGCATGTGTGTGTGTGTGTGTGTGGTATTGGGGATTGAACTCAGGGAGGAACTGTCACCAGGCTACATCCCCACCTCTTTTTTCACTTTGAGGCAGGGCCTAGCTAAGTTGCTGAGGCTGACCTCAAACTTTCGATCCTCTTGCTTCAGTTTCCCAAGTCACTGAGATATCACAGCTGTGCACCACCACACTCCGCTTACAGATGCTGTCATGTTAATGTTGGCTCTGACCGTTATTGGTGGTAACTTCACTTGCTATTATGTAATTAAAGGATAGGAGAAAATATTCAGGAGACAGCCTTGTGTATGCTTCATTTTGTTCTTTTTCCGTGTCAGAAGTCACCAAAATTTGAGTTTTTAGTGTGGGTTTTTTTGTTATTGTTTCATATAAACAAGGATGCAGTGGATTGTTGCTTCATAAACAGTTTTAAAAAACTTATGTGTTTACTTTTTTTATTCCTGATTATCAAAGTAATGTCTGCTCATTATAGAAAATATAGAGTACAGAAGACTATTTTCAAAAATGGGGGAAAATGCATATCACAAGCCCACATTGCACAAGTGGCTCCTCTTAATATTTTGGAATAATTCTTCTGTTCCTTTTGTTTGTTTGTTTTTAACACTATGTAATTGTAAACATGATGAGTACGTATAGTGTATATACAATTTTACATCCAGCTTTTCATTTTCCATTTGGCATTAAAGACATTAACATTTCCTTGTCATTATAAATGGCCATTTCTAATGGCTGCTAGTTTGTCTTGAGGTTTTACCCATGATTCACTTTTTGAAGCCCTCTTTTTGGACATTTAGTTTGTTTTAATTTTTTTTTTAAGATTGCAGTGCATATCATTATAAGTCTTTATAATTCCTTAGGATAGAATGTCCGAAGTGTGGAAGTACTATGTAGAGGAAATACATATTTTTAAAGTTCTTAGTATATACTGTCTAAATCACTTAAGATTTAAAAAATATGTGTGCTAAAATTTTGCCTTTTCTAACTCAAACCTAGAAGTTTTAATGTGAGCTTAAAATATTGATGTCTTGAAACTATTGTTTTTACTCCTACACTATATAGAGAAGATTGTTTTTTTAATATAAATTCATATAGCCTTTCTAGAGGATAATATGGCACCATATACCAAAACCCATACATTTCTAATTCAGTTAGTAATTTGGGAATTTATCCGAATTAAATTGTTGTGAATTTTTTATCTAAAGGGATGTTCTTCGATGTATTATGTATAATAGCTGTCTAAATTTCTGACAGTGGGAAAATAATTGTTTTATAGCTACTCATTGAAATCTGCATAGAAAAACAGTAAAAATATTTTTATAGACAGGAAATTTTTTTAGAATATACTTTAAGTTATATAACATGATGCCATTTTTATAAAGAAAAGTCACATATACATAGAACAGTTGGCAGCTTATATATATCAGATGATAGAATTATGGACAATTTTTATTTCATTTTTTGTGAGTTTTTTTTTAATATTTTTCAGATTTTTTTTTGGTGGACACAACATCTTTATTTATTTGTATGTGGTGCTGAGGATGGAACCCAGCATCCCGTGCATGCCAGGCGAGTGCGTTACCGCTTGAGCCACATCCCCAGCCCCTGTGAGGTTTTCTTTTTAAAGTTTTTTCCAAAATTCTTTTGAGGTCATTTTTTTTTAACTTTATAAAAACACTGTTTCTTTCATCTTTGTTATGTTAGAATCAAACGATGATTCAGTTGTAGTTTCTGTCTCAGCCATCGCATCTGACTCCCAAACTCCCCCAGCCCCTCCATACTTCCCCAGCCCTGGCCAGCTCTGCTGAAGAAGGACCACAGTCTTTCTGCTCAGGACACTGACATCTGCCTGCCTGCTGTTTCACCTTCACTTCAGTTTGCTATAAATGGGTCTGTTGAACATTAAAGTACTTGGCAGAAACCACCAGTGACTCTAGCCAATATCCTTTCACTGCTGCCTTTCTCTGAGAAACAGCCTGCTCTGAAATGAGTGAAGCCCGGTGCTGGTGAGGATGAAGGAGGGGAGGGCTCTTGGCAGACTGGGCTGCAGGCAGGGAGGCCAGACTGGTGAGCAGTGGGGGTCCCAAGCCAGGCCTCAAGAAGGATGACTTGTATGCAAGCCTGTCCCAGAGCTGTGTGCTGTGTTCTTTCCATATCTCTGTTCCTGCCTTTTATTTCCCTGAACTTGTTAAGTGCAAAAGTAATTCTCAAGACAATGATGTTGGTGATAATATCATAATCTTTACAAGTCATATGATAATGAAAGGGCTTTTGCTTTAGAATTAAGATATTCAAATAGAATTAAGAATTCAAATCCTAGCTCCTTTACTTCTGTGCCATGAATGTGGCTTCACTTTTCTGAGCATCTGCTCATCTGAAAAGATTGACGTGAAGACCAAATGAATGATACAGCATATTTAGAAGTGACTCATGGTTGCTTGTCCTTGGTAATTTTTACTCTGTTTGTCCCATGTCATTCCTCTCCCAACCTTGGGACTTTAAGGGTACTAGGATTGATAACTTTTAATGACCCTATCATAGCCAGGCTGGAATGAGGAAGGACTTAGGCCAGGTACTTAGACCCCTCAGTGGGAGCAGGAGCATCATACTGACCATTATGGGTGGGTGAGTTCCTAGCCTGGCCACACTACTGACTTTTTATGTGATTTTGGGGCAGAGCAGTTAATGTTCTATGCCTTGCTTAATCCTCTGTAAAATAGGGATAATGCCTGTCCAGTCTGCACAGGGGTTGTGTGAGATGATTGCATGAATTGAAGGAACAGAGGATGAAAAACTTTGGCACAGTAGGAACAATTATGCAACAGGCTGGTGAAAAAGTCTTCATAATATGTTAAAAAGACTTAATTGTATCCCCTATGTTGTGAGGATTCTGTGCAACAAAGTGTGTGAAAATGTAGCCTAGTGAACATGTAGTATCTGGCATGTAGTGAACATTCAGTAAGTGGAAGCTGTTCTTGGTATGTTGGTGTTGATTACCAGTATTTTAAGAAGTCAGACAGAGATGGAAAAGATGAACCTGCAGGTAGACTGTTCCCAAGGACACTTTGTACTTATAATATGGTAAAAAGTTAGTAAATATTTCCATTGATTGATTAATTTGAAAAGAAGTTAGGAAATGATAGTAAAAATCACAGTAACAACTATTTGCACAGAAAATACCCAGTTTTAAATGTGCTCATATGTTCATGATTTTGTTTAACCTTCACAACCACTCTCTGAGGAAGGGACTGGCATCCTCATTTGATAGATAGGAAACTGAGGCTCAGAGTGGGAAAATGACTTGCATATTGTCTCTCCATGTGGTCATATTGTTACCCTGGGTGCTGTGTCTTCTTTTTTTTCCCATCCCTATGCCAAACTGTACTCAGTGCCATTTCTGTAGAGGAGGCTTATGGCTGGAGTGCTGCTGGGCAGTGCGCTCCATCTCGTGCAAAGCAGTTGCAGAGGCCAGAAACATTTCAAGGGGTTTTGACTGGCTTAGTGAGGAGAGACCAAACTGCCATTCTAAATTCAGTCTAGAAAAGTGTCTGGCAACCTCAGGAGCTTTACTTTTCCAGCTTAAAAATGTACAGCTGTTGCTATGGTGAGAGATGGCTGCCTCCCTACATGGGACCAGTTGCAAGTCTTTTTTAGTTTCTACTCTTTTTAGCGCATTTAGTTTCCAATTCCTGACCAAAGCTTGGGGTTCACACATCAAAATGTCAAACAGCTTAGCACACAGATCCTGGGCACTATGCTGCTACCTCAAAGCTTCCCACCTAAGCTTCTTCCCTTCAGTCCCATATAGACAGAGGGGGAGGCTTTAGTACCTAGTAAATCATACTGGCTTTTTTTTTTTTATTCTTAGAGGCATATATATATGCTTAATGCAAAAAATTTGGAAAACATAGAAAAAGCATAGAAAACTTTAATAATTATTCACTTACTAAATGCTTTCTGAGAACTTGAGATGTGCTAGGTGGGATGTGATTGATAAGAGACATGAATAATATATTTCTATCTTCCTATCACTAAAAGATAACCACTGTTAATATTTTGGTAAGTTTCCTTCTTCTTTTAAAAAATATGCCATTTTTTTTTCCTTTTTTCTTTTGGTACCAGGAATTGAACTCAGGAGCATTCACCCATTGAGCCCCAGCCCCAGCCCTATTTTGTATTTTATTTAGAGACAGGGTCTCCCGAGTTGCTTAGTGCTTCACCGTTGCTGAGGCTGGCTTTGAACTCACAATCCTCCTGTCTCAGCCTCCCAAGCTGTGGGAATTACAGGTGTGTGCCACCATGCCTGGCTAGGCCTTTTTTTGTTTACATATTTTATAGATTATTTCAGATATATAAAATATATATGTATATTTATAATTCTAATATATATTCATATGTACATAGACATATATACACATAGACCTATATAAAAAACATACATATATACATATAAATATATATATAAAATATACATATATATAAAACATATTCACAGAGAATTTTGAATCTTGATTTTGCTTTAAGTGAAGGATAACATGAGTATGTCTCTATTTGAATTATTGAAACAGACATTTTTGTTCTCATTACAAATGTACCCATACTTGTTATAAAACATTCAAACTGGAATTTTACCTGTGTGCATTCTCTCCATGAAAAGTAGACGGTCTCACCCAATTTTTAAAAATTATTTTTAGGTTTTTTTTTTTTTAAAGTTTTATTTTTTGTAGTTGTAGGTGGCAGAATGCCTTTATTTTATTTGTTTTTATGTGGTGCTCAGGATCGAACCTAGTGCCTCATGCATGGTAGGCAAGTGCTCTGCCACTGAGCTACAGCCCCAGCCACAGTCTCACCCATTTTTAATGACTGTATATATTCAGCTACTTCTCCATTCCATAACTTTGGGTTTTCTGATTTTTCATTATTAAAAATAAAATCAGGATAAATATCTATGTGTTTAGAGCTTTAAAAATTTTCAGATCCTGTTCATATGATAATTTCCCAGTTGAGAATTCAGGGATTAAATGATAGGAACATTTGCATCATTTAAATTCCTATCAGTGATCTATGAGCTTATCCATTTTACTATAGCTTGCTAGCATTGAATATTGTAATTAAAAAACACATCAAATTTTGCTAACTATGATAGCCAAACTGTATCTTGTTTTAATTTGCATTTCCTCAGTGTCTATTAAATTTTCCATGTTTGTTAACCAGATGTACTTCATCTTTTTTGAAGGCGTTTTTTTTTTCTGCTTAACTCTTGGGATCTTAATATTCTTTTTATCAGTTCATCTGAAAACATTCTAAACTGGTAGACTAGCTGAGGTGTAAGAATTCTAGAGGCCCATTAAGAGACAGTCTGGCTTCTTTGTTTCATATAATAGTTAAGAATGTAGGCTGTGGAGTCAGACTACCTTGGTTTAGATTTTGGCATTGCAGCTTTCTAGCTCTTTACCCTGTAAGTAGTGATCCAACTGCTTCAGTTTCCTTATTTGTAAAATGGGGATAATGATAGTATCTGACTCACAGGATTACTGTTGGGAATCGACAAGAATGTATATTTGAAGTTATTAGTACAGCTGGCTGGTACTCAGTTAATGTGAACTTTTATCACTGTAATTTTTCCTAGATAACCTTTTCATATTTCTGGAATGTTTGTCCCCTATCTTTCTGCAGCCTTGGTTAAAAAGCTATCTCATTTTGTGTTCTTGCAGATCAGCCAAATGGCCGATGACACAGTTGCAGAGCTAGACAGGCATCTGGCAGTGAAGACCAAAGAACTCCTTGGATGAAAGTCTGTCAGAGCCCAACCACACACCAGCCAGTTTCTGGTGGATCCCATGGGGGCAAATTGGCACCTCCCACCCCCATCTCCATCCACGTGGAAGTCTGTCACTGTGCTGTCAGTGCAGGGAAGGCTCTGCCTTCCAGTGGGATACTCAGATCTGCTCATTCTCTTCCTCCTTCCCCCTGCTCACCCCATTCTACTCTGAGCCTTCTGGCCTGGTTAGCCCTCAGAGAACATCTACTGCTGGCAGAGTGTCTTTACTTGGGCATTTGCCTTGACCACGATGTCTCCAAGGGATGGGGATCATTAGCAGGCTTTGAACTGCCTGCTCCTCATCTCAGGAGCCTCCTTTTTCAAACAGTAAATCAAGCCCTGTTCCTAATTTTAAACTCTGTTCAGACTGATGTGGGCCTTCTGCTGTGACTGAACCCCTTTGCTAGAGGCCCATTTCCACCAAATGAAAAAATTTTAAAAAATCGGAAAGAATAACAGCTACAAAGGAAAGGACATAGTTGGTTGGGGTGGATGATCTCTAAGTACCTATATTTAAAGCAACCAAGAACAGCTTTTGCCTCTGGATCAACTTCATGCATGCTCCATTCTCTGCCTGGATCATTTTTCTACTCCTCACCAACAGGCCAGGCCTGTTTACTTTTCTTATCATGTCATCTGGGAATCCTTCCTTTACCCCCTAACCTAAAACCCCCACTGTTGGCTCTCAGTTCAATCTAATGCTTTTATTTGTACCCAAACTATGATTATTATTATTTTGCCAGTTAGTCTATGACTTGGCATAATACCGGGAATATAGAAGGCATTCGTATTTTCGCATTGTGAATAAATTGCACATAGTAGCTACCTAATAAATGCTGGTTTCTTCTGTGATGTAACAGTCCTTCTGTCTTTTTCTACTCTTGTCCTTAATCTCAACTTTTACTGTAATTAGATACCTTCTCCACCCCCAGGGCCTACTGCCTGTTGTTGATAGACAACAGGTTTATTTTATGTGGTTTATTTTGGCCCATCTTTGAGTGCCAAGTTAAGTTAATCCCTATCCCCAATTATTTTTTTCTTTCATCCATTCACAATATAGCCACTGTGAGCTAGAGTCAGCTAAAGCTTTATAGTTATAATGCATAGTAAACTTAACAGGTGTATATTACCTCCTTTTAAATAAGAAAACTGGAGCTGGCCTGTGTGGCATATGCCTGTGATCCCAGCTACTGGGAAGGCTGAGGCAGGAAGGCAGCAAGTTTGAGGCCAGCCTCTGCAACTAAGCAAGATCCTGTTTCAAAATAAAAATTTAAAATGTCTGAGGATATAGCTCAGTGGTAACCTATCCCTGGGTTCAATCTCCAATGTTCAATCTCCCCCACAAACTAAGATTTGACAATATTAGGCAACTGATCCTCCTCAAGTAACAGAGCTGGAAGGTGGTAGAGGATTTTTATTATTTATGGTCAGTCTCATTTTACAAAGGTAAAGTTTCTTGCCCAGATTTACATAGCTAACAAGTGGCAGAGCTGGGGTTCAAATTGAGGCCTGATTCTAAAGGCTGCTCTGCTCACTAATGAGTGGAAAACACTGCTTTTTCCTACTCTCTCACACTCAAGTGTGGATCACTTCTGTGACAAAGATGTGTGAGGTCTCCCCCAACACGCAGGCAGTTCTCCAGTGGCCACCAACCGTATGTCTTACACTGAACTTCAGTTCTGACCCTATCTACCTGGAAACAGTATCACATCCCACAGGTTAAGGGCTCAACCCCACAAAACTGCCCCCACTTCAATGCCAGTCACAAATCAGGGGCTACAAACTGGTTTTCCAGCCCCCTCCTTGACCATGATTCAGGTAATTGGCTGGGATGGCATATAGAACTAAGGGAAATGAGTTTACTGGTTTATTGTGAAGGACATAGGTGAGCAGCCAGATGAAGAGGTGCATAGAGGCAGCTGTGGGAGCAGGGGTATTACACCGAGCTCCCATGGCCTCTCTGGGCAAGCCACCCTCTCATATCTCCTAGTGTTCAGTCACCTGGAGGACGCCACAGCATCCTGCGGCCTGTGCAAGCATTTAGTGAGCATTGGTTGTTTATCAGATACTGTCCTTTGTGCCAGGAATAAAAAAATGTGCAAGGTGTGACCCACGTTCGAGTGGTAGCTAGTACACCAAGCTAAGTTGCTGTTTATAGTGTCTTGGCTGGAGTTCTAGTTCAGCCAGGCATCTGCCTTGGGATTGGAGCTACTTGGACAGCAGCAGACCCTGGCTGAGTTCTTTGATGCAATATCTTGCTTCTCTCTACTAGTTGACTCCTCCAGACTCGGTCCTCTGCTATAGGTAAGAAAGTTATGCTGTTTCCTCTGCTTATCCTGGTGGGAACTGCTATGAAATAGCCAGTGAGGATTTAAGGTCAGGATTAGGTCCAAGATGAAAGGAACTAACATAATCTCCTGCCGGGTTTACCTGTCCTCACATCTCCTTCACCACCCCTTGGTGGCTAGCACAGGATCAATTGAAGAACAGGAAGAGAGCAAAGGAGCCCCTTTGGGGGACAGCCACAGGGGCTTTGCAACAGTCTTTCATGAGTGGCCGAAATCCCCAACTCACTGCAAATGTGCTTTTCAAAGATGCAGGATTTTTTAATAAACAGAGGAAATGATAAATTATGTTGTAACTCCACTCCAAAGGCATTTGGTTCTTAACAGCCAAATCCTCTGTAGTCTTTAAATAAACAAAAACTTATTTGGTGAACAGACCAGGGAGGAAAGAATGAAAGATTTTCTGTACTTGGGTTCCACATGTCAACAATTTCTCTCCTGTGTGTATGTTGGCCAAAGCCGTATATCATGATAAATGAATAAAGGAAAGTCTCAAGCCCAGGGCAGTCAGATAGCTCAGCAAATGGCTTTCAGCTGATTGCTCCATTTTGGTTGACATTTATCAAAGTTTCTCTGTTGTTCTGTGTGTCAGGGCTGCAGTGGTGGCAGGAATGAGACTACCTGCTAGGATGTGCTGAGTTACAAGGATGCTTGAGCAGTCTTTCCCCCCACCCTCCTGCATTCTCCCTCTCTAAGGTAAAAGCTGCACTGGAAATTTTCACATTTGGCAGAAGAATTAACCACCTCCTCTGTTCAGTTCATCAACTTTTAAAGTTCCATCAAATCAAAACAACCCCCCACAACAGGCCAAAGAGCTTTTCCCCACTTTTTTCCTTCGTGTGTGTGTATGTGTGTGTGTGAAATTATAAAAGAAACAATATAAAGAATTAAAAATAAGGGCTGGGGTTGTGGCTCAGTGGTAGAGTGCTTTCCTTGAATGTGTGAGGCACTGGGTTTGATTTTCAGCACTACATATAAATACAAAAAGGTCCGTCAACAATGGGGGAAAAAATTAAAAGCAAGACTTCTTACAATTTTCTAGATTTACCCCCCCCCCTTTAAAATCAGGTATATATCCTTCCAGATCTTTCTCTGTACATAAATAATTTTTTAAAAGGAGGCCAGGGGAACTCTTTCATATTCTGAAGTTTGTTTTTAACCCAGAAATAATGGCCATCTGTGTTTGTACATACAGAATTCATTCTTTCCTTGCAGTACAGTATTTCATAATAGGGATCTACTATAATTCTTGCCTCTATAGTATTATTGAATAAGTACACTGGAGAATATTTCTACTCACAGACTTTTTTAATTAAAAAAGGATCCCTATTCTAAGATAATTTGATAAATTGTGCTCCTCTTTCTGCAACCTCAGACTAATATTGAATACCTACTGTAGACTACATGTAGACCCTTGACATGTGTCACTACCTTTAAACTTACCCTAGTTGATAGAGATACTACAATTTTCTCTGTTTATGTATGAGAAAACTGAAGTTCAGAAAGGGAATACTTGCCTATAGTCATCACATAGTTAGTGAGTACTAGAGTAAAATCTCAAATCCAGATTTAACTTTGATGTGAGTCCTTAATCCAAGTGCTTCACTGATTGCTTGCTCAAAATATGGATTGTAATGTTCTGTGCCTGGAAGGTGACATAAGAGAAGCAGAAGTCTTACTTTATAAAACAATTAGAAAGCTATGATAATAAGAATACAGTAAAATAGAACAGTACCTGAAGTTTGTTTTTTAACCCAGAAATAATGGCCATCTGTGTTTGTACATACAGAATTCATAGTAAGCATTGAAGAAGTGCTGTCTGTATTCATAGCCTCCCCTTGCTGATTGTCAGAGTTCTCTAAGTGTCAGAGAACCAGGGAGTAAGCAAATGAGCATGAAGCAGTGAATAATGACAGTGATAGCACTGACACAATGGCTAACTAATATTTAGTTGGTGCTTTTTAGTTTTCAGTGGGCTTCTACATCCTTTATTCCATTGAAACTATTGAGTGAGTGAAGTTAGAAAAAGATTATGATCAATAAAAGTTCATATCCTGGGGGCTAGGGTTGTGGCTCAGCAGTAGAGCGCTCACGAAGCACGTGCGAGGCCCTGGGTTCAATCCTCAGCACCAAATAAAAATAAACAAAATAAAGGTGTTTTTTTTTTAAAGCTCATATCCTGAAAAGCCACTTATTGAGTCTTTCTTTGTCCTAATATATGGTTAATTTTCATGATGTTCTCTTGAAAAGGAATATTTTCTAGGAGGTACACATTTTTCTCTACATACAGGAAATATGATATGTAGTGTTTAGTTTTTCTCTATCTGAATTTTTTACTCTTTGATGAGTCTGGACTAGAAGTTATGTATTTCAGTCTTCTGTTACTAACATATCTATTTCTTCTTCCTATAATTTCTGTTTTATGAAAGTGTTGTTTTGATGCATAGCTAGACTCCAAACTCTTATATCTTTATTTTGTGCACTGAGTATGAATTCTGTCTCATTATATACCAAGATCATAGCCCTTACTTGCTTTCTGTTTGCATTGCATGGTGTATCTTTCCCTGTTTATTTTTAGCCTTTCAGATGCACCATGTTTTGGGTATGTTTCTTTTTTAGAGTTGGGTTCTGTTCTAGGAACCATTCTGAAACTCTTTTTCTTATTATTGTTAATCGTGGTAAAATACACATATTATTCACTGTCTTAGCCATTTTTAAGCATACAGTTCAGTAGTGTGAGGTACATTTATGTTGTAAGTCAACCTCCAGAATACTTTTCACCTTGCAAAACTCAAACTCATCACCCGTTAATGCTAATCCCCATTTCTTCCTCTTACAGCTCCTGGCATCACCATTCTGCCTTCTGTCTGTGAATTTGACTACTCTGAGAACTTTGTCTTTTTTGGGATTGGCTTATTTCATTTAGCATTAATTATGTCCTCAAGATATCCATGTTGTTGGGCCTGGGGTTGTAGCTCACAGTAGAGTGCTCACCTAGTATGTGCAAGGCCCTGGATTTGATCCTTAGCACCACATAAAAACAAACAAACAAACAAACAAGTAAAAGTGCGTCCAACTACATCTAAAAAATACATTTTTTTTTTTTAAGATATCCATGTTGTAGCATGAATCAGACTTTCTTTTTCTTTAAGGCTGACTAATATTCTAGTGTCTGTATATATGAAACTCCTTTTAGTGGTAACTTAAACTCATGTACATTCATTGATAATACTGATTTTAGAGAAGCCATTTACTCCTTTCTTTATAATTTAGTGTTAACACTAAGTGATTTGGAGTATCAACCCTCTGCAGATTAGTGACTAGAGATTATATTAAGGAGAAAGATTACTTCTGCATAGGAGTTCAGTTTTCATTGAATGAAAAATAAGTAGTGATGATCCCTGTATTGTATTCCATTCTTGTAGACTCTCCTTTAATCTATTATATGCTGTTAAATTAGAGCAACCTGAAACTTCTCATTATGTTACTCTTCTGCTCAAAAGCCTTCA